TTAATGTTTTACGTAACTTTTAATTTGATTTGATTTTCTTATTTATTTATAAAAGTTATTATTTTGTTAAGTAATTAATTATAAGGATAAATTTGTCCATTTATAGACAGATTTTCAATCAAAGGGGTATTTCTGAAAGTGAAAAATAATTAGTATGAAACTCGCCATTTATGAGATTTAAATTTAAAAAAATTCACTTACAAACGAAGAAATAGTAATTGACCGTATTATTATTGTCTTACAACTCATGAACGTGGTTGTTAGCTTGCTAATAGTTTATGAATTAATATAGATTTCATATAAACACAGTGATTGGTCGATCAATGTGTGGAATGTGAAGACAGAACTGTATATGAAAGTAGGTTAATTAAGGTTAGTTAAGCCACGTCAACATTTTATATTGATTTTTTTTATAAAGACAATAAGACAAAAAACAATATGTGAGAGGAGGGAAGGGAAGGAGGAAATGTGGAACTATAGCCATTTTGAGAACCAACTAATGATATATAACCTACACTTACCAATTGTGATAAAATTAACCAAAATTAAAGTTAAAAAGACTTAATTGCCCTTATGTTAAAGCATATTGAATTACTTCAACGATCAGTCGTACTCATGCAGCAAAACCTGCATTCTACTGCTTTCATGGTTTCATTAGGCCATCTTTCGTAACTTGTATGATTGCATCAACGGCAAGATTTGCAAAATCTAGACAAAGTTCAGTAAAAAAATGTCACTTTGATCATGAGGTTGCAAAGGCGTGGAGGCACATTCCTCCCATTTCTATTCCAAAATGCAGAAGCTCTCACACAATCCCAGAGTTAAAATACATATAATACATTGTACGACCCCTTCTCGATTCCTCCTCTTTTACTTTTTTACTTTATAAAGGAGGAGGGTTTTAGTAATTAAATTTTCCCAATCAATATTACGTCCTTTCTATCGCAATCAATACTTTTTTACTTTTTTACTTGCTGAAGAGGTACCTATTCAGAAATGCTAATATTGCTACTGCCAATTTGCTTCCTGGTAGCATTTATCTTTTCTTTTCTCCTCTTAATCGCCACACAACCATTAACAAAAGACGGAGTCTTTCTCTAATTTTCGGATTTGGGAACTTGGGGTTGATTTTCTTGGAAAAATAGTCGGGAATTTTTTGTGAATTTTCTGGAAAAATAGTTGGGAATTTTCTAGCAAAAATTGGTAGGAAATACGAGTGTTGGGACAAGGAAGTGAGAAAGCATTGTGTTGGATTGGATTTGGGAGATTTTTCGACAGGAAGGAATGATTCTTTTTTCAACCTGATGGAGCATAGGAGAACACCAGAGTAGGACAGAAGAGAGAGTTTTAGATTAAGGGTATTAAGTATTTTTAACTTCAATTTTGGTTAGTTTTATGAGTGGTGATAAACCCTCACTGTCTTATTAATTCACCCCATTTTTTAATAAAAAATTTAGTATCAATTTTACCCTTTTATAAAATGACATCAAGGACCAGCACAAAAAAGAAAAAAAAATCTCTCTCCTCATCATCCCTTCAGTTGAATTGAGAGATGTCGGGTTGGATTATCTTGAAAAATACGCCCTCAATTGTGGAGAATGTGAATTTGATAATTTAACAAACTTTGATTGGAAAGGACCCAGCATAGCATATTCTCAAAATTTTGTTCTCATGCTCCATTTTCAAACTTGGAAAAAAACTGAAAACAAAAAGACAAGAGAAGTGAGAGAATCCGCTTTGGCTCGTCTCTAATCACGCTAGTGGTCCTTTTCTTCCCTCCCCTTTATTTTCTCTCCCTGGACTTCTCTCTACCTCTTGTCACTTCTTTCTTCCTCCATCTATAACACCACCATTTCATTTATGTTCATGTCCTCTCTCTCTCAAATTTCACACTCGTTTTCGAAGGTGTTTAATCATTTAATTTCAGTTTTTTGCAAGTGCAAGCAGAGGAGGAAGGGATATATTATAGCAATATATTAAAGGTTATTTTAGAAATAATAGTGGGTGGGAAAATAATATTTTAATTTTTTCACCTTTTTGAGATGGGTGAGATTATAATTTGGGTGGAAAAACAAGACATTGTGGTGAGTCTAGTAGCACTCAGTTTTATAAGAATTAAAAAAGATAGGCTATATTTCATTAGGTGTTTTTTAAAATGGTTACATTTCCAAATTTTCCAAATAAAGGGGATGAAAATAAAAGGGGAGAGAATCATACTCCAATTAAGGAGGACATGTCTGTTTGTGCGGGAATGGAAATATATGATGAAACAACATGATCATACCACCACCCATGGATAAAGTTGATGGGGAAATTAAAGAAAGAGACATTACATGCATCATTCTTATGTGTTGCATAAATAATTAATTGACCAATAAAAGAAGGGTTGTTTTATTGGCACCCTACAATATTGTGACAATCTCACGCTTAAAATTGTGTGTGTGTGTGCGTGCGCGTGTGTGTGTGTGTTTTTTTTTTTTAATTCTCATTTATCCTATTTCTAGTGAAGATACCTCACCTGTTTAAAACACTAAAAATCTCAAATACTATTTCACCTACCTGACATTTCGCTCACCCTCCGCCACTTCGTCAATCCACGCTAGACACTTCGTTCCCTTCCCAGCCCTCCCTCCCTTCCTCCCTCCCTCCCTCTCGTTTTGCGAGGCCTTTAATAGCTTGTAGGAACTGCAATTTCAGACACCAAAATCAAGGATGTCTACTTGGGCTATGGGCAGAAGAACATATGGAGAAGTGCTTCGTGCATAGAAGCATTCTTTAATTGTAATTATTGGGTCCTCATATGTTTGGGTGCACAAAGTAATCAAGACTATCTTCTTGTAACAATTGAATTATTAAGATCAATGGAATTTCATTAATGGTGGTGCATGTTGTTTGGCTGTCGAGAAGGAACATGGTGGTGCATTGGTGGGTGTTGGGTTTTTTTTTTTTTTTTTTTTTTTTTTTTTTAAGATTTAAATAAGGAGAAAAGAGAAAGTTCAACAAGAATTCAAAAAAGTGGAGTGTATTCATAACATTGTAGAGTGTTAATAAAAAAATCATAAAAGAATATATATTAAATTAATTATATTTGTGCACCTCGTTATTAGTACTGAAAAAAAACCTATCAAAAGCCATACGATGTATTCATTGATGTCTAGTCTATATTTTTCTTAGGGTTTGCCTCATTGAAGTAACACGTGTTTGGATGAGAGAGAAAAATAGAATTTGTTAGTGTTCTAAGTAGCAAGTGACGATTATTGTTTCTTGAGTTTGACCTAGCTATTTATAGGAAAAAGCCCTAGCAGACAACTAGGAGGGGAGGCTACAGAGCATACTAAGCGGTCCTTAATGAAGCAGGTCAGTTTTTACAGTCTTGCCAGTCACAGTTATGAAGGTCACTGTTGGTAAAAACGCAGTTATGCCGGACACTCAAGGAGAGACTACAAAGAGTTGGTGCCCTGCTATCACTGGATCAGACATGCCCAATAGCAGGCGGTCCAAATTAAGAGTTCATGGTCCGTTCGTGACATAAAAACCCAATTACTTTAGGGCAGATTACGTCATATTCCTTAGGGTCATTTGTGGTCTCCTCACAATGTCAAATGTAGAACCATCATATAAAGCATATAGTCCACATGTCATTCTCCATTTGAATATGGTTAGTTTATGTCTCCACAAACACCTCTTTCATTGTTCATATTAAAACCCGTGACAAAATATTCCCGGGCTATGTTCTAAAGATATACACTCCTATACTCCTCGTGATAAAAAATATATTTGGATGAAGCCAATGACCAATCTTCTCAGATTCATTTCATGCGTCTCTTTTCCTGCACAGATTTTTTATTTTGTGAGTCACGAGGGTTGCCTATGATTGACATGGTTGTGGGTTGTGACCTAATTAAGCAATAAAAAATCTTACACGGCTATATTGTTCTGGAGAGTTGGATTGATATCAGCTCCAGATATGGTGGAGATAGTGTGCTTCTTCACAAGACATTTTAATTTGAAATAAATCAGTTCAGAAAACGAATTTCTTTGAAGGAAACTCAAGAGTCTTTACAGTGGCTAATGATGGCCCTCAAGAATATTTGGATAACTTTTTTAGATTTGCCATCGACGATTCAAATAGCCACCCAACCTGGACAATTTGCAATGCCAATGATCCCAAGAATTATTTTGGTGGAGATAGTGCTCCTAATAAGTCAACTACACAAGCCAATGAACTGGAGGGATACTTTTATTTCATCAAATTTATATCGCGTCTCAATCGTTTATTTGATAAATAATATTATTTTTTGAACGCGTGGTAAATAGTTATTAGAAAGCAACGTCATTGAGATTAAATATTGGTTGTATAAGAAAATGTATTCATGAATTGTGAATTTGAAGTGTCCTTGTTGGGCACCCAAACCAGCGTAAAATGATGCAGTACTTGCCTTTTATAGAAATTAGTTTAGAGTTTAGAGTTAAACATTTTTAGTTTACAGTTTACATTGAAAAGACAATGAATGTTTACATGATAGGGAGACCACCACGGTAGTATACATCAGCAAATGATGTGTATATGACATGTCAATTAATGAGTTGGTCTCATTAGATGTTGATCATATGACCTCTCTAGCATTACTAAAAAAATTTGTATGTAAACTAAAAGCGATGTAATTTAACACAGAAAATAGAAGTACAAGATCCAAAGTTAACGATGCATTAGAGGGTTTTATAAGGTAATGCAAATATATTAAGAAATCATTAACAATATACATAGAACAAACATGCCAAACGTAATCAAGAAATCTCACACGCTAAAAAGACTATATGATTTCAAAATTACAAACTTATCGTGAATACAATATAATATTGCATTAGAGGTTAAATTATGTGGATTCTATGGTTGCAACCTAATGACTGATAAAGGAATGTATCAAGGGTAAGTAAAAGCATATGATGAAGCTTTCATGTCTCCCTCAGTTCAAGTATTTAGTGTTGGAAACTGAAGACAGATGTCTCTTGATTATTGGTTACTGTGTAATCAATGCCACATCAGCCTAAGTTGTTATAATGTTTGTTAGGTGGTTAAATGATTTGTTAGTTGGTTAATTGGGGATTTTTCATATTTTCATCAAGGTCTTCAATGGCTCGGGTCCACTATGGTTCAGGTTTCTGTGACTGAGAGCAGAGTTTGCTTTGTTTGCACCGTTGAATCACTGCTTCTTTTTCATGTTCTCTTGCTGATGAAAGGCGAGTGTGCGTGTTGCTCATCTGGGTAACTGCCGCAACGTTGTTGGGGGTAAATGATCACATGGATTAGTTGACATCAGAGGGTATATTAGTTGTCAATAAAATTCATTCTCTCAATCTCTCTTTAGTATGTTGTAATTCTCGAAGGATCACATCTGGGTCATCAATTTATGAAAGTTTAGACCTATGTGCAGCCCAGGTGTTTGACGAAATGCCCAGCTCAAAAGTTTTATGTGAAGGTTAAGTTTCTCAGTTACTTGCTTTGATTCTTTTAGTATTGCGTAAATCAATTAGTTTGTTGTTATGGGCAAGAAGCCATTTAAGTTGAGATGTTGAGATTTAAAAGCATGGAATCATCTTTCTAGTGCGTCTTTTCTGGGTTCTTCAAGTTGTTTCTGATATTTGGGTTCAAGATTCTTCATTGCTTCAAGATCAATGTTTGTCGTGGACTTCATTTGGTTTGCTGGATTTTCGAATCATGAACTGTGCAATTTTTATGGTGTCCAATTCTGTCTCTTTGCCTCACTGAAATTCTACTGTCTCTTTATTGGGTTTGAATTGTTCAGAAGCTTATAACAGCCTATAATGTTGAGTCTAACCAGCTCAGTTGTTAGCATGTATCTACTATAAGTCCGGTTATACGTGTGTTTAGAGAAAGATGAAATTTGAAGAAGTTGTTGACGGTAAATCCCACGAAGGGTAATCCCGTGTTATGAGTAGGTAAATCCCACGAAGGGTAATCCTACATAGATGTTAATTTTTTGTTATTAAAATTGTGAAGGCCGATGCCATTGTTAAAAGGAGTTGTTTTTGGTAAAATCCACAAAGGGCAATCCCGTGGTACTATAGTTAAGGCCGATGCCACACTATAGTTTGTTAATTTTCTGTTTGTAAATATTAAAGGAGCCAATGTTGAATGAGTTGTTGACGGTCAATCCCACGAAGGGTAATCCCATAAGAATTTGTATACCGGCATGAGGATGTGCTACGACTTCTTTATAGAAGGATGTTCTTTGTGAAGCTCCTGTTAGAGGTAGAGGAAGGGTGTCATGATTTCAATCCACTGGTTCACTTGCTAAGGTTTTTTCAGTTTGTATGACATCAAGTGTTCTTAGAATGATCTGGCAAATCACACTCCTTTAATAAGGGATTCTATTAAACAGGATGGTGCCTTACCGAGATGCAAGTTGTTTGTGAATTTTCTTGAAGAGAACTCCACAAAGAGGAAACTATTTGAGTTGTGGTTGATGATATAGAAGATGATATGGTTGTTGATGCAGAAAATGAGTCTAATGACATTGATAGCATGTTTAGCTCTCCGTGCTTTCTGTTTCAAATAGTGGTGCATTGTTTAACAACTTGGAGTATTCACAAGAGATGGAGATCTTGGGTTTTGTGCTTTCTGGAAATTCTCATTTCTATTGCTGCTGCTCCACTGTGGTTGTCTGATTAAAACAAAAGGATAATGCGCAAACATTAGTGCCAAAAAAAAAACTTTGATACATGATTGGCAGGCATAACAGAGGAGCCATATGTTGGACCTGGTGCAAGGCAGGCCAGTTTGGAGATTGCAAAGATCAATAATAAGCAGATGTCTCAAATTGCAGGACTCAACAGTTTATCTCATGCTCACATTGCTGCAATCTCAGGCTTGGTAACCTAGCTGAGATTGAGGGGGGATGAAGACAGATGTCTCTTGATTATTGGTTACTGTGTAATCAATGCCACATCAGCCTAAGTTGTTATAATGTTTGTTAGGTGGTTAAATGATTTGTTAGTTGGTTAATTATTTACTTGTGGTTAAGTAAGCTTTTGTTGTTTAGTATATAATGCACTTCAACTTACAAATGTAGTTAGTTGTCATTTTCCTCAAATATATAAAACTCTCTCTCTCTCTAAACTCTCCTGTGTTCTTCCTTTTGCTCATCCTTTCTTCTAGATTTTTTCCCTTCAATTCTCAAACACTACAATGTAGTTAATAGAAACTTGGTCATTTTCTGCACTCATTATTTGCAGAAGAGTCCTACTCTAAATGTGGAACAGATTTTCATGGTGGTGGGGGAGGCAGGCAAGAAATGTGGCTTATTGCAGGTCAACATTAACCCTATCACAGTACCACTTATAGGTGGATATTGCCTTTTCCGTCGCCTGGATTTCTAAAGCTTCAGCTTTGTCATAATTGGATTGCATACTATTATATCAAATTTATTTGTCGCCCAATACAATGTGGAAAGAATTATCCTCCATATGATGTCATCCTTAATGCATGCTTATGCCGAATCATGGGTAGCGACTTTTGATTTGTTATTAACATTCGTTATTCATTTCGTTGCAAAATAGTTAATTTGCAGTGTCAGATGTTACTATAAACTTATTGGTGAAAATTGTTAATAATTTAAAATAAATTTATGAAAGATAACATTTGTGGTATCCCTAATTTTTTGTATTTGGCACATACCTTTCATTTTGGCCGGCAATCCAACTTTTACTTGGTGTAATTTGCCTATGTTGTTTCAATATCACTATCATGTCATTCATGGATGTTCTTCAATGCAATAAGATGACGCCATCCTTTGTATGTAATATTAGACCTGGCATTTGTGTCGTATTTTTCGTATTCATGTTGTTTTCGTGTCATACCCAATATCTTAATGAGTCGTGTTGTGTAATACCCGTTAAAATAAACGGGTAAAATGACCTGACCCGAAATCGACCCGATAATATTAACAGGTAATATGACTCGACCCGTTACCCGTTAAGGAAAATATATTTTAAACCAATAAATAATCAAATGAAAAACATAATACTAAATAAATATATACATATCATATTGTCATATCCAAAACATAAAAACGTATTTTTCTTTTATGTATATTTCACTTACCTAAAGTCTTTAATAGTTTTTTAATTAATGTAGAAGTGTAAAAAAAATATAGAAAAGATATATAAACGCTCGTAATGACAAGCTTTACAACTTTCATGAAGAGCTTAACTTCGAAATTCACCACTATAATCATATAAATTATAGATCAAAATTAACCGTTGATTATTGTTTACATTTATGCTTCATTGTTCTCATCAAATTTTGTTTTTTCAAATTTTGTTTTTGAAAACTTGATCTATTAGAGGATGCAGGAAGATGAACGGTTTGGATTGTTGATATTATATTCAGAGTTTTACGGTTAGTGAAAATATTGCTTGATGTTTACAAAGTTTCTACAAACTATATGACATCGACTCATATTTCAGTTAACCGTAAATATCAAAACGTGATATTATAGATTTGAACCGTTCATCTTCTTACATCCGCCAGATGATCATGTTTTCAAAAAAGAAAATTTTAAAAATGAAATTCAGTAAGAAGAATAAAGCATAAATGGCAATCAACGGTTAAATATAAATTTAAGGTTTATGAATTATAGTGTTGGATTTTGAAGCTAACCCCTTCATGAAAGTTGTAAAGTTTATCACTATGAGTGATTGTATATTTTTTTTACATTTTTTACACTTCTACAATAATTATTATTAAATTTATTAATTTTGCCCTCAAATAAAAAACATTATTCGTGAAGGTTTGGAGGATTTTAAAAATCTAAACGATAATGTAAGTACCATTATCTACTCGTGGAGGAATAATGATGAATCACGAGTGTTTATATATTCTTTCACATTTTTCATACTTGTATGTATGTCTTCTTAGTTCTTGCCTATACAAATACTATATTAGTTTATTTTAATTTTGGACAACAACATGTTAAGTAAAATTTATCCTAGTAATGATAATAAGGAACTCTCATAATAAAAATAAATAATGACTAAAACTTTTTTTTAAAAACTTATATAGAATAATAATAAAAAACTATATATTTAATATAGAATATATTGTATATATTAATATGGCTATTGTATTTTATAATAAATCTTTTAGTAATTAAACTTTAAAATTATCAAAATAAATTTTTTCTTAACGGGTCACCCGATAAGTTATCGTGTTGACCCGAAACCCGTAATTTTCGTGTCGTTTTCGTGTCGTGTCAGAAACTGCCTGGTCTATGTAATATGCTTTTTGGTGCTTGTGCCAACCATATCAGCTGGCCAGAAGCACGAGTATAATATTCAAGAAAGAAAATAGCATGATTTAAGGCTTAATAATTTTGAAGGAGAGATGTTAAGGAGATCTTTTTAAAGTGAATTTTTTTATGAATTCTCTGTTACCTTGTTGTTTAACGTTAATTCTCATTCTAATATTGTAAAATATTATGCAAAAACATGAGGTGTCAAAGAGTTCATGAAAAGTCTAACTTTTGAGAGAAATCTCCTTAGCATTTCTCATTTTGAAAACCAAACTTTTATTGACATATGAATAAAGTTCGGTTTCTACCATAAAACTAATTGGCAATATGAGCAGTAACTCAACTACCTATAAGCTCATGCAAGATTCCTCCTTTCATCAATGTGTGATTCATTCTCAACAATATAATTGGATATGGGCTGCGCTCTACACCTAATTCATCAAATGTGAAAGATCTGTCACACAACTTCTGTAAATACATTGTAGAAATAAGAGAATATGCTAATGTTAATCGTATGCGAGCGAATGACGTTAGCATAATATCCATTAATGTTTGCAGTGCTTATAGTGAATGACGGACAAAGATTGTCTGCCCTCCCACTTCCGGTGCCCTCTCGTGCCTTTCTGTTTGTGTGGTCACGGTTAAGCCACGTCAACATTTTATAAAGATAATAAGACAAAAATGAATAGTAATATAAAATGTTGATGTGGCTTAACCGTGACCACATAAAACAGGAGGGCACGGGAGGACACTAGAAGTGGGAGGGCAGACAACCCTTGTCTGTGGATGACACACCCGTCAATAATTGTGATAGCATCATGAGCCCAAATACATTGAGTTATAGTATACCTCATGAAATTGAACATAAGAAGTAAATTTTTAGTGAGAAAAATTTCCATGTAAAGAGTTTCATATTTTTGTATTTTTTACAACACTTATTACGTGACAAATCATATTATCAGTGTCGTAGAAATATAGGGTATGAAAAACCCGATGGCCATGAAAGACAAAAGAAACCGAGCAGCCTTAAAATTAACTCATTAATTAGATCTGTGAGTCGGTGACATTGGGCAAATGAAGATATTGCAAAAGTGAATAGAAAATGTGATTACATGATCAAGATTATCTGGCTCATAGACTCCAAGTCAATCCAACAGTCAACCCAAAGATTAAAGGCCAACTGGATTACACTAATCAAAGCAGTCATAGTTGATTAGAGAACACTTTAATCATGATTATTATACAATAAAATCCTTAAATAAACACCAACTTTCCCACTTGATCACTCACTAGGCTTTATTTATACTACACCCCTTTTGGCCTTTTGTGCTAGAAACTAGAAAGAAAATGAACATCTTCCAATATCTAAATCAAAACCAATCCAAAAACCAGTCTCCAAATTTCCTTTTCCTCAGATCTTCACCAAAAAGTTACACAAATTTTTGCTGGCCACACCTGCTAAATTTCCTTTGCAGTTTATCCTGACCAAAAACAGTGCACCCCTATACCGACACCGCAAAAAATGAGCACCAAGAGAGGGAATGAAGCATTTCGATTTGCAATCCATGTGCTTCAAGGAAGATGGTTCTCAGTTTTTGCCTCGTTTCTCATCATGGCAGGAGCTGGAGCTACTTACCTCTTTGGTGTCTACTCCAAGCAGATCAAGTCTTCTCTTGGCTATGACCAAACCACCCTCAACTTGCTAGGGTCTTTCAAGGACCTTGGAGCAAATGTTGGTGTCCTCTCAGGGCTCATTGGTGAAGTCACCCCAACATGGTTTGTCCTCCTCATTGGCTCAGCCATGAACTTTACGGGCTACTTCATGATTTGGCTTGCTATCACTGCCAAAATCCCAAAACCGAAAGTTTGGCACATGTGCCTCTATATCTGCATTGGAGCCAACTCTCAGAATTTTGCAAACACTGGAGCTCTTGTCACATGTGTCAAGAATTTCCCGGCTAGTCGCGGTGTTATGCTGGGATTGTTAAAGGGGTTTACTGGACTCAGTGGAGCTATGTTCACCCAAATTTACTTGGCGATTTACGGAAACAATTCGAAATCTATGATTCTTCTCATTGCTTGGCTTCCTGCTGCGCTATCGGTAGTTTTTGTGTACACCATTAGGCCAATGAAGCTTGTTAGGCAACCCAATGAGCTTAGAGTGTTTTACCATTTCCTCTATGTCTCAATTGGTCTTGCTGTTTTCCTCATGGCTATGATTATACTTCAAAAGCAGATTAATTTCTCACAAGCTGCTTATGCTGGAAGTGTTTCCGTGGTTTGTTTTTTCCTTTTCGTTCCTCTTGGGATTGTAATTAGAGAGGAGTTAATCCTCTGGAATCTCATGAAGCAACCTGTTGATCCTCCAACCGAGTTAACCGTTGAGAAACTTCCGGCACAAGCAATTGAAGCTAAAGAGGAGGAAGAAAAGAAAATAAAGATTTCTTGTTTTGCAGATGTATTCAACAAACCAAAAAGAGGAGAGGACTACACAATCTTACAAGCATTGCTAAGCGTCGACATGCTAATTTTGTTCATCGCAACACTATGTGGACTCGGGTCAAGTTTGACAGCAGTCGACAATTTGGGGCAGATTGGTGAGTCTCTTGGATACCCAACAAAAACAATAAGCTCATTTGTGTCATTAGTGAGCATATGGAACTACTTTGGGAGGGTTTTTTCAGGGTTTGTCTCCGAAAGCCTATTAGTAAAATGGAAAATCCCCAGACCCCTAATGATGACTGTTGTTCTTCTTCTCTCCTGCGTCGGCCACCTCCTCATTGCATTTCCAGCCCCGGGATCGGTCTACGTGGCATCTGTGATCAT